CACATGGGCGTGTCCTTGGCACATGGCGAAGGTAGAGGCTGAAAAATAAACCTTTATTAGCTCCCGGGGCCGAGGGGCTGGGGGTGGGGTTGGGGGGGGGGTGCGACCAAGGAAGGCGGGCGGCAGCTCCTAGACTAAGGGTCAGGGGGAGAAGCTGCAGCGGCCCTGGCCCTCCGCGGCTCTCCGCCTCGGGGAAGGAGGGCGGGGCGGAGGCCAGCAGCGGGCAGGACCCGGCCAGGCATGCAGGGAGAGTCTGTGGGTTCCGTGTCCTGCGCGGCTCCACAAGCCCGGGGCCTGAGGCTTCCTTGGCAAACAGGAGACCCCACCCTCGGCTGCTGGGGAGCCACGGCGGCAGCGACAGGCAGGGCAGCCAGACCTGCGGCCAGCCGATTCGGTGTTCTGTTCGCGGAATGGCTCTCAGAAACGCTTTGGCAGGGAGGTGGGGCGGGGGGACAGGGGAGGGCCTGGGGCCCAGGAAACCTGAGTCTGGCTGCCCTGAAGGACACTCTCCCACACCTGAGGCCACCTGGGGGGCTGGATTTCTTCCCCGACTCCAGACCCTGGCTTCCGGGGCCTCCATGAGGCCAGGGAGGGAGGAGTGGGAGGGGCCCTCCTGGCTGGTAGGGTCTGGAGATGTCCTGAGGCCCCCCTTCCCTCACAGCCCTGTCCCTCCCCTGCCCCTGGCCAGCGTGGGGAATTCTGTCCACAGGGGGCCCGATGCAGGGGTGGAGTTAGCCAGGAGGGAGAGCGGGTGAGGTGCAGGTGATGGGCGGCTCCCACCATGAGGTGGGCTGGGCTGCGGGGGCCGGGGCATCACTTGCTCTTGTGCGTGTCTTTCAGCCGGCGGAGCTCCTCCAGGAGCTGGGCCCGGGAGCAGCCGTCGTCCCCGGTGGGGCCGGGGCCTGGCCCTAGAGCCTCCTGCAGTGCCAGGCAGTGGGTCCGCAGGAACGGGTTGTAGGAGCGCTCCTCTCCCAGGGTGGACGGGCACTGCGGGCGCGAGAGGCACTGGGTTGGGGGTGGGGGAGGGCTGTCCCCGCCACCGCCCTGCCTGGGGGCCTGGTCAGTGCCCCGCGGCCGACCCCAGCCCGCACCGTGCTCCTGCGCTCCATCCGCTGCCTCTGCACCCACTGCATCTTCCTCTCGCGGGCCAAGTTCTCGGGCTCCACCACGCCGGCAAAGCCCAGATTCTCCTCGGCGTACTCGTGACCTAGCGCGTGCCGGCGGGGGAGGGAGGTTGACCGGGGTGTGGGGGGTGGGGAGTCAGTCCGCCCAGCTTCCGGCCCCGCCCTGGGGGTGCCCTGGGCACTTCCAGGAGAACCGCAGGCAGCCGGAGCTGCTTCCCCGTCTGTGGGCACAGGCCAGCCGGGAGCGAGGGGGCAGGGCAGAAGCCCCCTCGGTCACTGCGGCTTCAGGTTAAGTCACCGCACCTCTCTGAGCCGCATCTTTCTCACAGGGCAAGTGGAGAAAACTGTAACCCCCTGGAGGCGGAGGTCATGGCTACTTTCTTCCTGCCTGCAGCACAGCCTGGTGCGCCCAAAGCCCTTGTCAAATAAATGAGCGAAGATGCTTTCTGAGGGTTAGCTACCTGGGGGGGGGGGGGGTCCTGTGATCTCCAGGGCAACGGGCACAGGCAGAAGGCACTGACCCGCTGGTCCCCAGACAAGCCAAGGCTGTTCTGGGCTCCGGGCTCTGGCTCAGCACAGTCAGATCCCATCCTGGGACCCGTGGGGCTGGCATGGGTTCTGGAGGGCTGAGGGCTGGCGGGCAGGGCACAGTGGCAGGCGTGAGAAAAGAGGCGCTAGGCTGCAGCTCTGCCCTCACCCCTCGAGGTGGGGCCCAGGAGTCACCCTGTGGCTGGGACTGGGGTCCACCTGGTCCCTAGGGGCATGAGGGGTCCAGGCGGGGGGGGGGGTGCCTCACCAGGCCACAGCAAGGTGTCATCCTCCAGCCCCAGCACAGTGTCCAGAGAGCTCAGCATGGTCTCTGCGGTGCCCTCAAAGGTCCGTCCTGGGGGAGTGGGTGGGGTTGGGGAACCAGGGCGACACAGCATGAGGTCCACGGGGCTGGAGGCCAGCTTGCCTGCTCTGGCCCCTGCCACGCCCACCCCCAGGCATCTGCCCTCTTCTCCCCAACCGGGAACTGGGCCCAGTTGGCCATCCCCAGCCAAGCCCACAGGAGTCCAACACTTCCCAGCCGAGTCTCGCCAATCGCTGGGTCAGACAGCCAGGCTCTCTGCACTGGCCGTGTGCACTCTGAGCTCCCTACTCAGTCTGGGATCCTGTCATCGTGTGCAGCCACCAGGGCACTCTTGAGGACGTGAGCCCCCACGCAGGGGGGGGCACTTACCACAGCCAGAGAGGAAGAGCAGGTCCCCCGAGAAGAGGCACGAGGGACCCTCATAGGGCTCCCCATCCAGCAGGTAGACCAGATGGCCTTGTGTGTGGCCAGGGGTGGCCAGGGCCCGGATCTGCAGCCGTCCCACACTGACCACATCTTGATGACATAGGGGACTGGGGAGCAAAGCAGTAGGGGAGAGGAGGGGCTGGGTGATCACAGGAGGTCGGCTTCCTTCCCACACGGAAGACACCCCAGTGCCCAGGGTCTCAGATGCAAACCCTCCCTCTTCCTCTTTTGGGGACCACAGCTGGGTCATGTGGGGAGCAAGTGGTGCCAATCTTCCTGTGGGCTTGAACCTGCCCTCTAGGGCCAGCAAGGGCATCAGCAAAGACCCTGCTGCTGCTGACACCGTGACACACACTGACACACACACACCCAGAGGCTGCGGGGGAGGGGAGAGGGAGGGGCTGCCCCATCCCGGCCAGCCTCAGGCACTCACTGGGTGAGGTAGGGAATGCCGTCATCCGGGCTCCCATATACCCGACAGTCCTGGTGCCGCCGGCTGAGGTCACGATTCCCTCCACTGTGGTCCCTGCAGGACAGCAGAGACGGGCAGGGGGCTTCATGGGGCAGTGGCCCTGGGGCTTCCCTCTTCCCCACAGCACATCCAGGCCTTTGAGCCAGGGGCCCTGGGACTGGGCCAGGCTGTCCACACCTCTAGGACCTTGTTCAAGTCTGCCCAGACCCTCACCCCCTCACCTTACCACACCACCCCAACACTCTTCGCATGGCCAACGCTGGCCATCATCTTTAGTCCCCCAAGCGGATCTGGCCACACTGTGCCTGGGCTCCCCCCTGCCCTGTACCACTGCCACCTGTCACTTACAGACCTTTATGCAGGGGCTCTCTCCCTTCATGGAAGAGACCAAGTTTGCCTATGCCCAGTAGGCATCTAATAAATGCCCATGGGACGAAATGATGGGTGAGGGACCTGCTTTTGTCTAGCGCATCAGACACCTGAGAAGTGACAGGGTGGGAGATCCGCCCCTGAAGTGGGTGCCACCCATCCTGAATTCCTGACCCCAGCCCAGGGGGCCCAGCCTGGTCAAGCGTGGTCCAGAGAGGATGTTCTGCACCCAGACCGCCTCCTCAGTCCCTTACCAGTGCTTATGGGTGCAGAGAATGGCGACCAAGGTGACACCCTCCTTCTCAATGGCAGCCTGGGGAGAGAGGTGCCCTGAGAATGGTGGTGGGATACAGAGGAAGAGGGGCTGGGTGCTGCTGGAGAGGAGGGGAGGGGAGTGCTGGGAAAGGAGGCGGGGCCTGTGAGAGAGGGTGGAGAGCAGAGAGGAGGGATCCGCACAGAGAAATGAAGAATGGGAGGAAACCCAGAGAGACCCCGATACTGACTGAGGGGGGACAGTGCCCGGCAACGCACTGGACTCCTGGTACTGCACGGGCACCCCTGCCCAGTGGCCCCTCCCCCTAGGCCTGTCTCCCCCCATGCAGCCACATCCTAGACACTTTTCCTTGTGCGTGCATGCGTGTGAGAGTGTCAGGGGTGGGCACACATGCACACAAGATGGGGGCACATTCTGTGAGCAGAGGGGTCGGGGACAGCCCCTCCTCTCTAGCAAGGAGAGGCCCCCAGGCCCCCCCGCTCCGCTCACCTGCACAGCGCGAGGGTCTGAAGGGTCCACAGCCACAGCCAGCCGGGCCTGGGTGTCGATGATGAGGTAGCTGTAGTTGTCCGACAGGACGGGGATGGGAAGCACCTTCACTCCTGGGGGCAGACACGGGCTGGGTGCCCAGTCGGCGGGGTACGGAGGGGGAGGAGGCAGGGAGGGTGGGGGGTGCCGGCCAGGGGCGGCCAGAGCTCACCGTTGAAGAGGCGGGGCTGGGTTTTGGAGTGGCCTTTGGGGTAGCGATTCCGAGCCCTGCGCAGCTGCTGCCGGTAGAAGAGGTACCCGAGCCAGGTGCGGGTGTACAGGCTGTACCTGGAGGGCGAGGGTCCGGGGTCAGCCCCTCCCCTGGGCACCCCGGGCCCCTCTGTGCGGCCTGTGGGCTCCACATCTCCACTCCCTTGGTCTCCCCAAGTCAGTGCAACTCCATCGTCACTTATGGGGCGCCTCCTGTTTGCCCGGCTGGGTACTTTGGTCAAGGTAAAGAAAGAGACTGACGCCGGCGCCGCGGCTCACTAGGCTAATCCTCCGCCTAGCGGCGCCAGCACACCGGGTTCTAGTCCCGGTCGGGGCGCCAGATTCTGTCCCGGTTGCCCCTCTTCCAGGCCAGCTCTCTGCTGTGGCCCGGGAGTGCAGTGGAGGATGGCCCAGGTGCTTGGGCCCTGCACCCCATGGGAGACCAGGAAAAGCACCTGGCTCCTGGCTCCTGCCATCGGATCAGCGCGGTGCGCCGGCCGCAGCGCACCGGCCGCGGCGGCCATTGGAGGGTGAACCAACGGCAAAGGAAGACCTTTCTCTCTGTCTCTCTCTCTCACTGTCCACTCTGCCTATCAAAAAAAAAAAAAAAAAAGAGACTGACACACTCGGAGCCAGGGGAGCCGTGAACTGAAGAATTCACAGGAGAGACTCACCCAGGCAGGAGTTTAATCTAGCCCAGGGCTGGGTCCCTGATGAACACTACCAGGAATAGGGAGGAGTCAGGAGGCTGACCTGAGGGAGGAAAAAATCTTCAAGGGCAGTGGCGGGGCCCCGTGTTGTGGTGCCACTTGCTAAGCCAGAGTCCCTATCAGAGTGCTGGTTTGAGTCCCAGCTGCTCCACTTCCAATCCAGCTCCCTGCTAATGCACTTGGGAAAGCAGCAGAAGATGGTCCAAGTGCTTGGGCACGCACATGGGAGACCTGGATGGAGTTCCTGGCTCCTGGCTTTGGCCTGGCCCTGCCCAGGCTATTGCAGCCATTTGGGGAGTGGACCAGTCGATGGATGTGCTTTCTCTCCGTCTCTCTCTCCCTCTCTGTAACTCCGCCTTTCAAGTAAATAAATAAATCTTAAAACAAAAGCAAAAGAAGGGTAGTGGTGGTCAAACGTTTACCTGCATCATAATTGGCTGAGCGACCAGATAAAGAGCAGGTGTCTGGTCCTATCCCCAGAGTTTCCAGGAGGTCTGGGGTGGGGCCTGGGAACTGACATTTCCAGCAACTCCTGGGTGCTGCAGGGACCACAACTGTGAGAGCCACTGAGGTAGAGGAAACAGCAGCAGGCAGGGGTCCAGATGCAGCATTCAGGGCTTGTTTGGGGAAACTAGAAACTTCTGTCCATGGCGCTGGCGCTATGGCATAGTGGGTAAAGCTGCCACCTACAGTGCCGGCATCCCACTGGGTGCCAGTTTGAGTCCTGGCTGTTCCACTTCCGATCCAGCTCTCTGCTGGCCTGAGAAAGCAGCAGAGGATGGCCCAAGTCCTTGGGCCCCTGCACCCACATGGGAGACCTGAAAGAAGCTCCTGGCTCCCTGCTTCGGATCAGGACAGCTCTGGCCATTTCAGCCATCTGGGGAGTGAACCAGTGGATGGAAGACACCCCCCGCCCCGTAACTCTGCCAGTCAAATAAATAAAACAAACCTTAAAAAAAGAAAGAAAGAAAGTTCTGTCCAGCTGCTTGGTGGGAAAAGCAAGAGAGGCAAGGGTGGGTGGGCTGTCGACACGCCTCTCCCCTCCTGTCGTCATTCTAGGCCATCTCAGGCTACCTGGTGCTAGCACAAAGGGGGCACAGGATCAGGATGAGGACACAGAAGGCCAGGACACAGAGCTGGCTTCCCAGGTGTGCAGCCACCCAGGTCCCCTGATCAGAAGCTCCCACACTGAGCGTCGCCATCCTGAAATTCGGTGTGGTTTCAGCCTGGGACTTGCGCTGTGCAGGCGGAGTCTGATGGGATGATGGAGCACACACCTGGGCGGACAGCCACACAAGGGTGTGCTCTGTCACTCGCTGCCCACGCACAGACAGCGTTGGTGATGCCCCCGAGCACAGAACTCTGGGGACCCCCTATGCGTGGGAATTCAACAAGACTCAACATGAATACGACGTGGGGAGACATCTGTGACTCGGGGGAGGGCGGTGTGGCTGACCCAGGAGACCAAGCTTTCCAACTCAAACTTCCAACAAGTTCCAGCTGGCATTTGCTTCACAGTTAAGCTGCTTGGACTCCCACATCCCATATTGGACTGCCTGGTTCTCCTTCTTCCTTCTCCTTTTTTTTTTTTTTTTTTTAAGAATTATTTTATTTATTTGAAAGACGTGGTTACAGAGAGAGGTAGAGACAGAGACACAGAGAGAGGTCTTCCATTCCTCTGGTTCACTTCCCAAATGACTGCAACAGCCAGAGCTGTGCCGATCCAAAGCCAGGAGCCAGGAGCTTCTTCTGGGTCTCCCACATGGGTGCAGGGGCCCAAGGACTTGGGCCATCTTCTGCTTTCCCAGGCCATAGCAGAGAGCTGGATCGGAAATGGAGCAGCCAGGACTCAAACTGGTACCCATGTGGGATGCCAGCGCCGCAGGCTGGGGCTTTAACCCACTGCGCCACAGCACAGGCCTCTCCTTTTTCTTTCTCCTCCTCCTCCTCTAACTCCTTCCCCTCCCCCTCATTCTCCTTCTTCCCTTTTAAGATTTGTTTCATTTATTGAAAAGCAGAGTGACAGAGAGGGAGAGATAGAGAGGGAAAGATCTTCTATTTGCTGGTTCACTCCCCAACTGGCCACAAAAGCCGGGGCTGGGCCAGGCCAAATCCAGGAGCCTGGAACTCCACCTGTCTCTCCCATGTAGGTGGCAGGGGCCCAGTTACTTTGACTGTTACCTACTGCCTTTCCAGGTCCATTAGCAGCGAGCTGGATTGGAAGGGGAGCAGCCAGGGCTCTAACCAGTGCTCTGATATGGGATGCCCATGTTTCAGGCAGCAGCTGAACCCACTGCTCAATGCTAGCCCCGAAGTGTCCGGTTCAACTCCCAATCCAGCTTCTTGCTAATGAGTGATGGCTGAAGTACTTGGGTCCTTGCCACCCACATGGGACACCTGTACTGAGGTCCGGGCTCCTGGCTTCAGCATGGCCCAGCAGGCATTTGAGAAGTGAACCAATGGATGTGAGATCTCTGTCTGCCTTTCAAATAAAATTAAAATAGATAAAAATGTTGGCTTGGTGCAGCCTTTCCACTGTCCTATAGGAACCCAACCCACAGCCACGTGCAAGCTGAGAAATATGAATTATGCCGTTCCAGTGAGTACATGTGAGCGAAGTGTTCTTACATTTGCATTTAAAACTGGCACTGCACGATATGAAAAAGAACGATGAAATTCCTGCTGCTAATTTACATTTTTAATTTTTCTTCACTTAGCAAACTACAAGCAGCCTGACAAGTCGGAATTTCACATTACACCAGACCCTACCAATCACACAGCCAGCCAGCCAGCTCAGCACCCGAGAGGCCTCTCGGGAAAGGGACCTGAGGCTGGGGCGGCCGGGGTGAGGGAGTGGTCAGAGCTGAGGACTGTAGCCCAGGCTGGTCAGGCCAGGAGGGATCCTGGCTGTTCAAGACCCAGACAGAAAAGAGGAGGTGGGGTGCATGGGTGCTGGTTGGGGCAGGGCAGGGGCAGGGAGGGAGCAGGTTGGCCTGTGAAGAGTAACTCTAGGGGGAGCTCTGTGGCACAGTGGGTAAGGCTATGGCAAGGGGCAGGCATTGTGGTGCAGATGGTTAAGCCCTCAGAATGTTGGTCCCAGTCCCAGGTACTTTGCATCTGATCCATTCCCTGAGCAAGTCCTTAGCAGGCCAGGCAGAGACTCGGTGACTTGGTGGCTGCCCCCGGCACGCCCACCCTACCGGAGAGGAAAACTGACGAGCTTGCGCGACTTCCCTGAAGGCGCCCCAGCGAGGACCCTCCCTCTGCCTGGGCTGGGGACAGGGCCCAGCTCAGGTGGGCCACGCATGCATGCACCTGCTGCCCGAGCACCAAGCGCCCGAGGGCCTGGCGCTGAGCTGGTGCAGGGTCCCCACAGGTGGGAGCCCGGGGTGTCTGCAGCCATGGTGGGAGCGCCTCCCTGCCACCACAGCTTCTCCTGAGCACACCCTCACCTGGAACGCTCTTCCCCCTGCTGCTCTAGATGCTGCTGCTGCACCAAGCCCCCTCCTCCAAGAAGCCTTCCTTGACCATCTGAGCATCTCTGCTCCCACCCTGGCCTGAACACACAGACACCATCTGGAGTTTCTACCACACGGCAGCACAACGAACACCTGGCGCCCTGGGCCCACCGCCGGAGTAGGATGAGCGAAGGGAGGCGCGTGCAGCTTCAGAAAGGCCCGTGCACAGCGAAGGGGCAAAGGCGGCAGAGGGCCCGGGCTGACTGCACGCTAAGCCGGCGCTGAACGTGGGAAGGATATTTGTAGACCTCATTTGCCTCTCAATACAACACGCCCGGGAGGGCACAGTCACTTTGGTGGTGTTTGTGCCAAAAATGCATGGTTCGTTTGGCAGGAAACGTCCTACGAAGCCAGGCTGAGAGACTCAACAAAACACTGGCCAGGACTCTCCCAAGGGGTCCTCGGCACAGACTGCACGAGCTTAGATGCCACGTGGGGTTCTGAACTGGGTCCTGCATGTAGAAGAGGAGATGGGGGGGCACCCAGCAGAAGCTGGGAGGGGCTGGGAGTAGCTGCTGGCAGGCACTGGTGTTCATCCTTTGGTTTGGACAACCGAGCCTCAGCCAGGAAAGATGCTCGCGCTCCTGGGGGCGGGGCGAGGGCTCCATGAGAACTCTCTGTGCGCTTTTGACAAGTCTGGAATGATCTCAAGATGAGAGCTTAAAAAATAGAATGAGAGGCTGTTGCTGTGGCGTAGTAGGTAAAGCTTCCGCCTATAACGCCAGCATCCCATATGGGCGCCGGTTTGAGTCCCAGCTGCTCCATTTCCGATCCAGCTCTCTGCTATGGCCTGGGAAAGCAGTAGAGGACGGCCCAAGTGCTTGGGTCCCTGCGCCCACATGGGAGATCC